GCATAGAAAGAGACAAGAGCCCAGAAAGGCTGAATGAGCAGGCCACACTCACTCAGATAGTTAATGCTGCAGCTGGTTCTAGAACCTAATTCTTTTGCCCTCAAATCTTGATTTTTCTACACTATGTTGACCCACTTACCTCAAGCCATAAGAACAGTCTGTGTTGATGTTTCTGGTGTTTAAAATCCTTTAAACACACAAGCAACAAGCAAATCACAATTAGGCAGAAAGATAGCCCTAAATGATCTGGTGATTTCAAATGCTGTGACAGCTAAGACTGAATAACGTCAAACCCTGTGCATAGATCAGTCCTGGTTGAAAGCACAGCTCTGCAGCTACAGGGAAGGCAGCAGCTTACCTGCGACTAGTGATTTTAGATTTAGAGCTTCCTTTTTGCACCTGAACTTCTTACAGTGTGTTGGTGAATTCATACAAGTGCAGTCAAAGCCAGGATGCTCTAAAACCAACTTCCTTTATGCTATTCAAATGTCACATGACCGAGCTCTCTCTGAGCAGAATGATGGCATCAAAACTCTCTCCACAACCCATGAGCACTGCCACTTGAGGGCTCACATCTGTGCCCATCCAAGCCCTACAGTCCCCATTACAGTGTACTGTCCCTGTGTGAACCATCCCTCAGCCTCTTCATCTGTCCCTGAATGAACTGTCCCTCAGCTTTTCCATTATAATGTTCTGCCATCCTTTCCTTTTTATGTCTTTATTTTCCTTTTTTATTTTATTTTTGTTCATTTATTTGTTTGTTCAGACAGGATCTCCCTAACCTCAGCTAGTCTGGAACTTATTATATTGATAAGACTGGCTCCATCTCACAGAGATCTGCCTAGAATTAAAGGTGTACACCACCATGCCCAGCATGTTTTATTCTTTGAGACAAGGTCTCATTCTGTCCATAGCCCAGGCTGGCCATGAACTCATGATCCTCCTGCCTCAGCCTCCCAAGCATTAAGATTGCCAGTGTGTACCCCCACACCCAGCTCCCCACTTCTTTGCCCTTTCAAACATGCATGGTGTATTTAGTGGAATGTCTACAGACGTAAGTGTATTAATGAGCTGTAGAAGGGGAAATCTGACTGTCCTGGAGAAAGGAATGACTAGAGATGGCTAGGCTGCCTACCTGGTTCTCCTCCTATCTCACCCTCTCTCCCCCTCCCCCTCCTTCTCCTCTTTCTCCTCCTTCTCCTTTTCCTCCTCCTCCTCCTCTTCCAATCCCTCTTCCTCCTCATTCTCTTCCTTCTCCTTTGCCTCCTTCCAACAACTTCCAGCACTCTCTGAGCATTGGAAGATTCACCATGCAAGAGTGAGAGGTCCCAATAGCTTAAGAGACACAGACAAAAGAATGCTTAAGAGCCCAGATTCTAATCCAGTCTCACTACCTACTTAGCTGTGCAACTCTGAGCAAATTACTTGACCTCTCTATTCTTCCATTCCCTCATCTGTAAAATTAGGATAGTATTTTCCTCCTAAAATATTTGTGAACATTAAGGAAATTAATATGTGTAAACTTGACCAGTGCCTGGCACATACTTCAATATAGATCTAGGTCATGCCCACTCTCCTCTATGGTCAGTTAAGAGGACTCCAGTCACCCACACCTACACCTTCAGAAGCAAGAGCTATGACACAGATCATTTCATAGGAAGGCAGTTTCATGGTGTCCTGGTGGCAATTAAAGGTTAAATGGGACAATAACACACCATCAAAAAAGAATCATAAAAATACTGAAAGCTGCCACACCTTTATTCCCAGCACTCAGGAGGCAGAGGCAGGCAGATCTCTGTGAGTTCAAGGCCAGCCTGGTCTACACAGTGAATCCAGGCCAGCTGTAGCTATAGGGAGCCCCTGTCTCAAAAAAAAAAAAAAAAAAAGGAAGAAAGAAAGAAAGAAGAAAGTTAAGACAAATAAGATTAAATTCTTCATCTTAAAAAAAAAAATACTAGGGGTTGGAGAGATGGCTTAGAGATTAAAAGCACTGGCTGCTCTTGCAAAGGACCCAGGCTATGATACCAGCATCCACATGGCAGATAACCATCCATAACTCCAGTTCCAGGGGAATCCAATGCCCTCTTCCGACTTCCAAGGGCATTGCAAGACACAGGTGCTCTTACCTGCAGGCAATACACTCATACATAAAATAATAATAATAATAATAATAATAGAGAAGAATTATAACAGTGAGAGGGAGGGAGGAGGGATGGGTGGATAGTGGAGGTGGAGAGTATGAATGTGAGGAAAGTATCGTGTTATATATGTATGAGAGTATCGTCATGAAACTCATTCTTTATACGCTAACTAAAATTTTAATTTTAAAGAATTGTGAGACCAACTGAATGAAGTAATGGACACAAAGCACCTGGCAGGCTGGGCTGGCTCATAAAGTGCTGTTATTTTTATTGAGGTGTTTATTTTTAGCAGCTGTGGTTTTAACTGTGGAAGCTGCTTGTAGGCTTTTCTTCTCTGCCCCGGGCTGAGAAACACAGGAAATTCATGAGGAGCACTTATCACTAGCACACAAGAGGATTCCACAGAAAGGTGTCTTCGAAGCCAAGGCCAGCTTCATAAAAGCATTCTTGATGCTTCCTCTGCCAGAGTTCCAGAAGCTGCCTACCCCTCTTCAGACAACTGCCCCTTCATACCCAGGGAACATCTCTCAGTCCTAGACTATACCACTTTCTCCACACCGGCCCCGCCCCAACCACATCCCAGCCCTTTGGAAGTTTCACCTGCACACTTTAGTCACAAAACCTAGTGATTTCATTGCTCACTGCTCTATCTACCTCCCCATCTCCATGGCCACCATCCCGAACAGTATATCATTGCATCTGGTCCCCATAGCCACAAGAGCCACACAGCAAAAGTTCTGAGATTTAGCTCAGATACTGTTACTCTTCAGCTTGAAACTCTTTGAAGCTTAAAATAAAGACCAGTCTTCCTCTAATCCCAACAGGACTCCACCACCACTAACACCATGACTTTGGAGCCCAAGTCTGTAGCTGTCTCAGCCACACCTTGAAACATAATCATCACCCCACACACACACACACACCCCACCCCAACCCCTGCCTCAGCATGGGAAGTTCTTTCTTTCCAGTTCCTGGAATACTCCTGGTCCTTCAGATCTAGGCTATCTGCACCGCTGTTTCCTCCTCTGCAGGCAGTTCCTGTTCTCACTGGCCAGTTAACTCCAGGTCTCAGCACAGATGTCATCTCCTCAGGAAAGCCTTCTGACCATCCCCTCCCTTGGCCTTTGTCAATCTGTTTTATTTGTTTTGTTTGAGGCGGTCTTACTTTGTAATCCAGGCTGACCTGAAACTCACTATATAAACCAGATTGGCCTCAAACTCACAGAAATCCTTCTCCCTCAGTCTCCCAAGTGCTGGAGGCTGCACAGGCCACCACACCAACCTTCAGTCTTTTCAATCAGACTTTCTTAAAACCCTGTGGTGCCCATAAAAAATGTGTATTCTTGACTGATTTTGGCCTCTCAGCCTCTCTTCCTCACCATAAACTCTAAGCAGACACCGCTTTAGCCTTGCTATTTCGATTGTATTTCCAGTGCCAAGACTGTGCCTGGTGTGTAACAGGTATTTGACAGATATAGTCTGCAAGAATTCAGGGTAGTGGGGTTGGGGGAGCATGCTTCTTGTTTGCAGAGATCTGACAAAAAAAAAAAAAAAAAAAACAGAAAGCTGGAGTTGTACTGAAGGTGTGTACAAAACAGCCCAGTGTTTTCAAAGGGCAATGCCTCTTCACTTGCTCTTCACTCAGTTGATTCATAAGACATTTACTCAACAAATGAGTGTCCTTCCTGGTTCCAGTCTAGAGAGGAGAAAACATTTACTCATAAAGAAATTTAAAGGGGGGGGGGGACTGGGAGTAGATATGATCAAGATTCATTGTATTACATGTATGAAATACTCAAAGGCTAAATAAAAAGTAGTCTTTGAAAAAGAAACCTAGTAGGGCCTGGTGGCACATGCCTCTAATCCCAGCACTCAGGAGGCAGAGGCAGGCGGATCTCTGTGAGTTCAAGGCCAGCCTGGTCTACATAGTGAGTTCCAGGTCAGCTGAGGCTACAGGGAGACCCCGCCTCAAAAAGACCAAAAAACATACATACCCCTAAATTTCAACCCCAAGACCCACTCAGGAACTGCCTACCCCAACTCAGCCAGTAGATGAGCTACAGGGTGACTGAACACATGGTTTCGACATGTCCTGCTCCCACACTGGTCACTCAAGAGAAGACATAACATCTGTACTTAAAGGAGGAGACCATCTTCCCATATTCCTAAAAGCTTATAGGCCATAGCACCGAGTACACTGTAGCTCCCACTCCCAGCCCTTCCCAAGCCCATCATTCTTCGAAAAACCACTCTCCACATCCCTTCTACAACCTGAGCCAAACTAGCTGCCTGGGTTGGTCATAAGACTGGGCAGGCCCTGTAGGCTCCATTATTTTGCATACCCTACAGGGAACAGCCACCCCAGGGACAGGTGCTGCAGATCCCAGACTCACATGCTGCCAAGAAACCTGTCCCCCATGAGGACACCCAGGGCATGCCACACAGCTCCAGGTCCCACAAGAGGCACCCCACCCATCTGCCACAAAGACAAAGATCACCAGAAACAAAGGACACACACACACACACACACACACACACATGCACACACATAGGTTCTCAAAGTCAAAAGCAAATACCAACACTTGGTGCAATTTCAAATCAAACAGCGGGTCTGGTGTTATCTTTAAATAGGTTTTGAAACCATCCTAGTGGGACAACCGCCGTGTGGTCATGTCAGGAGCGTTTTGAATTCTGAACCCACGCTGCCTCCGCCCTCCTCCCACCGGCGCCGCAGTTGCCAGGCGCATTTCCCAGCCTCAGGACGCACGCTGCCGGGAGCAAGCACGGCCACTCCTGCCAGCGCGACACCCGCAGGTGCAGAAGGGCCAGCCAGGGCAGCCTGAAGAGAGCAATACCAACCTTTAGGATCCCAGTTCACCTGCTTTCTTGGCGTCTCGATTGGAAATTTCATTGCTCCGTTGCCCAGAAGGGAATGAAATTAAACGAATCAGAATAATAATAATGATAATGATAATAAAGTCTTCAAGCTTTACAGCGCGTCAGTACAGCAGACAAACAGGACACTTTGCAAGGATGGGGAGCCTTGGACTGACTCCGTAAGGAACCTCAAAGAAAGACAGGTGGGAAAATACCAGCTGAAGAAAGCACCAGACACTGCTTGGGTATTTGCACCGGTTAAGGGGGTGACCAGCAGGCCCGCCCGGGTGGGTGAAAGAAAAAAGTGAGATCGGATGCTAAGGATGCTGAGGCTGGCTGGGGAGGATGAAAGAGCCGGGCTACTTCCGCTGAGGCGTAGTCAATAGATGCGGGGCTGAGCAGCTGCCCGGCTGAGGCTGGGGAGAAGCCCACCGCAGTATCCCTCGGGTCCCCGAAGGCGTGTTCGCACCCCGTCTCGCACACACACACACACACACACGCGCGCGCATACACGCGCGCGCGCACATGCACACACACTCCCGGCCGCGCTCTCGAGCGGACACGTCAGCCTCGCTCAGCCGCGCACTGCACATTCGCCCCACCCCAGTGGCGGCTCCTCGCCCCTGGGCGACGCCCCCCACTCCCCACCCCCGAAAGCTATTGGACAGAAGGATGGCGCGGCGCCCAGGGGAGCGCGCGGCCAGGGTGACCCTCCCCACCGCGCGCTGCAGGTGCCGCGCGGCGGCGGGAGGGCGCGGGGCGCGCGAGGATCCTGGATGCTCGGCCCCCGGCAATGGGCGGTGGCGGGCCTGTCCTCCTCCGGGTGGCGGGAGCGGCGAGGAACGAGAGGAGGGAGCGCCAGCTACTTACTGGCAAGGCCGGCCGGCTGGCGGGCGGGCTGCGAGGCGGCCGTGGCGCGCTCGGTGGAGTTGCAGCCGGAGACACGCTTGGCTGCCTGGAAGGCGCTGCAGGAGGCGGAGGAAAGGGCCTGTCGCGGCCCCGCCGCGGACCTCGGCCTGGAGGGTGACCTCTTTTCACCGCTCCCACCCCGGACGCCTCCTCGTCCTCTTTTGTCACTTCATTTTTTACACTCCGCTCCTCCTTCGCGAGCCTGGTTCTGTCGCTCGAGTCCCGAACCCATGTCCCCACCGCACTCCGGAGAGAAGGAGGCCGGTGCCAGCCATGAGCCTTTTGTTCTGGGACCCGCTGCTTGGCTTCGGCTGCGATCCACCTTCTGTAGCTACCTCCCCAGGCGCAGGTTGGTCCCTTTCCCAGCGACCAGAGCCTGACTGCGGCTCCCACTTGGAGGCTCAGGAGAGAGGCTGGGAAGGGCCATAGAGGCCCTGGGGGAAAGTGGAGTTGCTAAGTCCAGGCGACTCTGAAAAGCTAAAGAGATGACCCAGGGAGCACTTGGGAACCGGCACAGGTAGATGCAAGGAGACCCCAGCCATGAGAGTCAAGGCGATGCCTCACCTCCACACACCCTGTCCTGGAATCCCTACCGGGATTCATGGTAAGGCAGATAGTGCTGAGATGCTCTTGAGTGAGCCACCGCCAAGTATCAACATAAATGCTGCTTACAAGTTCCCTGGGATGCCTAGCAACAGAACCTTGCATATAATAGATGCTCAAGAAATGCTTGCTAACTGAAGGATGAATTGCAGGTCACCATGTTGGATAGAAGTCCTTCAAGTCAGTACCCTTGTTTGTAGATAAGATTACTAAAGTTCATTGTTCATTCAGTATACGCACAACTAAATTGTGTACCACCACTGTGCCAAGTGCTGGCTGCATGGTAGACAGTAAGACAGAGATGGATCTTTCCTTGGGTGGAGGGAAGGTCAGATTAGATGGGTGGTTGTTACCTTCACTCATGAAAGAAGAAAATGGCAACACTCCATCCCCAAGTCTGCAGCTATGGTCTAAAACCCCTAAGCTTACATGGCACTTGGGTCACCATCATCATATCCTCCACATACAGACCCAGGTCTCTAAGTCCAAGGGAAAGATCTATGGAGATCCACCATGGGAAATATAGGGAAGTGCTTTGTCACTGACTCCCCAAACAGGAACCTTATGTTCTCCTAGCCCATGTTCAAGCAAAACCAGCCTGCTACAAAGGTACCACTCTGACTCCTCCGACCTTACAGTGGGTTCCCCAGGCGCATTCAAGTTGACTTCTCTGGGCTGTCTTCACACTTTCCCTCCTTGAATTGTGAGGATGAACAAGAAGTGAAAAAAGACAGTTTCTGCTTCTTCCACATGTGAGCCCCAGACACACCAGTATATAAGGAAATTCTTTTCCCAAGTTCAACCAAAAAAGCACTTTCAAGCGTCACCCCCCCCAGTCATTGCAATGCCATGTGTCTATTTCCATCAGAATCTGAGAAGCATGCCTTCTCTCCAGAATTCTCCCAAGATAGAGACAAGACAGTTTATCAAATGCAACTTCACCTCTTGTTTCTTCTTCCTCAGGAGCTTTCTCCATCTCTGTGAGTAAACTCCCACTGGCCTCCCTTTAAGCATGACAAGACTACAGCTTAGGAGGATAAAGAAACACTCCCAAGGTCACAAGACAGAGATTTAGACCCAAGTTTAACTGATCCAAAGACCCATAGTTTCTATACCAAAACCTTGGGGCCCAGGACCCATGAATTTGACCAGAACAGTTCTTTTGAGTAATGAAGATCCAGATATTAACTATCCAACCTCCAACCCCTCCTCCTTTGTAAAATAAATTGGGCTATCCTCAAATTCTGGGGTCAACATTAGGGAACTCATTCACTGCCCAAGGCACAGTTCAGTGGAACAAAATGCAATCTTCAGATGCATCACCATTCAGCCAATCAACAAACACTGATCACCCCTTGTGGGCAAAGCAAGTTGCAGGTCTTCTTTAGAAGTGATTTTGACCCCTGGATAATGAGAGACCCCCCTCGCTCAAACAGCACTAGGACAGTTACTAGGCAGCTGGGGGATTTGGGGTGGACTCTGTTGGGGTAAGCAGACCTGCTGCCCGGGTTCATCTTGCACTGGTCACTGGCTGTACATCACCGGATACCTCCCCTTCCCTTCCATTGGCCACCCATCTCTGGGGCTTTCTCTTACCTCCACTTGCATTGTCCCTTTTCAGGATGTCTTCAAAGGCAAGTTTATGGGGGGGGGGCGTAAAAACTCCAACAAAAATAAATAAATCCCAATACCCTCTCTCCTCCAACGTGCATGAAATCAAATGTAATTCTTCCATAATTACAGAGTGCAAGATCCCCAACACACACACACACACACACACACACACACACACACACACACCAAAAAAGCACCTTAACACATTAGCCGGTTGTGCTCCTCTCACCCCCTTCCACCACCTTCAGCCCTACCCTTTGGTTATTTACAGATTGATTCCACTTACCCAAAGGAGGAGGGAAGAGGTGAGCTATGCACAAAACCTGCCAAGCTAAGTGGTTGGGTCTCGCGCTGCACCACCGCAACTTCCATGACTATGGCTGGGGGCAGGATAGGTCTGATGGAGAGAGCCGGCCTCCGGTTCCTGCGGCAGGAAAAAAAAAAAAAAAAAAAAATGCATCTGGCGCAAAGCCTCCCTGCACTCGTGGTCCCCGAGTCAGGAGCCCTGGACTGGCGGCGGCCGCATCCTGGGTGCTTTGGGACACCCGCCCAGATCCCTGCAGCTCAGAGGCTGCCCCGCCGCCGCCGAGCGCAACAAGAGCTACCGCACTCTTCAATGTTCGCGGCGTGGCGGACGTGGGAAGGCTTGGGAAACCCCAAAACCGCAAACATCTCCGGTGGCGAAGTTTGCCTGGAGTTGTCTGGCTCTTACCCCCTGCCCCACGCTGCATCCTGCGCAGACAGTGAGACCCAGGGGGCAGCTGGTTGCCTGCAGGGTGGGACATCTCCGGTGCAGGGAGCAAACCGCTCAGTCAGAGAATAGCTGGATTCTCTTCCGAGGTGAGGCAGGAGAATTTCCTAGGACAGTGTATTTCAGGGAGTGATAAAGCAACTTGGGGAATACTGCTTAGCGTCGGTCCAGAAAACAGAAAAGGGGAGGAGGGGGTTCTGAACAGAATCTACTTTAAATTCGTAATATCACAATGAATTCATGGACCCGCCTAGGATTGTTTCCCTTGGATTTGGCCATTCCTCCCTGAAAATCCCGAAGAAATTCCAGCGCTTCACATCGTTCTCGCACCCAAGTCGTTCTTTCAAAAGAACTGCAGTCCGGTTTGCTTGTCATTTTATGAAGATATCCCCTACACACACACACACACACACACACACACACACACACACACACTGTACTCCCAACCTTTAGGAAACTCACGCGAACTTAAACTTCTACCAGAACTGTTTTCTTTTTCGGAGCAATGTTTCCAGGTTGTTCTCAGCATTTAATCATTCCTGTATTCCTACGTTCGTGTCCCAACCAGCAGCTGCTGAAATCTACCCTTAAGTGTATGTGTCTCTAATCTTGGTCTGTGTTTTGGCTTGGAAAAGCCAGAGACACATCGATCCGCAGCAAAAAGGCAGAGGGTGTCGGATATCCCTGGAAACGTGTAGCTGGGCTGCCCAGTAACAAACTGCCTGCTACATCCTGCAGAGCTATTTTCATGAGTCAAAGCTTGCTTTGGGGAATTACCGAGGAAGCATACTATGAGCTCCCAAGAAGTTGTAATTAAAGCTTCAGGCTGATGAACATGTTCATAACCAGAAACAGTGTTTCCTTTCCTTGTAAGTGTTCCCTGTTTTAAATCTTAGCCCTTAAGAAAATCTTTAAGCTCCACTGGGCAGCATGCCAGACATCTTAGCTAAAATGTACAGCCATAACGTCACTTCTTTTTTAATATTGTATTTATTATTTTTATTTTATGTGTTTGAATATGTGAATGTAAGTGCACCCGAGTTTTGCAATGCCCACAGAGGTCAGAAGAGGGCATCTGATCCCCTGGAACTGGAGTTACAGATGACTGTTAACAACCATGTGGGTGCTGGAAACAGAATCCAGGTCCTCTGCAAGAGCAGCCAGTGCTCTTAATTGCTGAGCCAGCTCTCTAGCCCTAATCCCACTTCTTGTAACAAGTTACAAAGTGACTCCTTTTCTCTGGGTTATCACCAAAACATAAACCCAAGTTACTTTTTAAGAGTCTAGTCTGAGCTAGAATTTTTTTTCCTAAACTTTTTATTTTGAAACTTTTCAACCAGGGCTTTCATCCAAGCTACTCAAGAGGCTGAAGCTGAAAGATCCCAAATTCAAGATCTGCCTGGGCTACAGAACTAGTCAAGGCCAACCCGGAAAACTTAGAGAGACCGCGTTACAAAATAAGTAATTTTTTAAAGGATATAGCTCAGAGGTAGAGCACTTTCCTAGCATGCATGAGGCCTTAGATTTAATCCTTAGTACAACAAGTCAAAAAAAAGAAAAAGAAAGGAAAGAAAATTCTCAGAGAAAAATTATAGGTGTTTGGTAAAAATCAGTGCTATGGGGACTAAGGAGA